AAGTCGAGCATCTTCAAAGTCTACGATTCTAACTGTAGGGCACAGCAGCTGCCACTGCAGATTTGATCCTCTCAGCTTTTGGCAGCTCTCAACTTGAAATTCTAGCAAAAGAATTTTTCAAGTTGCTATTATTGCCTGTCATGGATTTATAAATATTGTGCACTATCTGCTGTGGCATGGCTCTCATGGGACACCAGTGCATGCCAAAAGCGTAACAGAATGAAAAACAGTTCCTATTCTTCAAATAAATGCTAATTTTTTTTAACTGTGCTCACATGATGCGTTTGGTGATCAGCTTCAATAGTACAGAATATATATCAGAGGCAAAAAAGCTGATTGTCTTTTCCAGTAGTATTCAGCTGCTACTTTCATTAAGCTTGTTTAATTACATTCCAGATGCTAATTTGCAAGTCGATACCAGAGGGTGCAGGGCAGTTTGCCTTTGAATCATTTTTCTGTGATGTGATGGTCTTGAAGCACACCACTACCCTCCAGTAGCCCTAGCAAGATATTCTGACAATTAGTGCAAAAGAAAGCAGTATTGATCTTGACAGAAAAATATTAATCCTCTACCCATTTTATTAAATTAGTCTCCAGGAATTTTAAGTTTATCATCATTGCCATTTCATAGCAAGTTTTATGTGAAATATACATAGTGTGCTTCAGATTTGTTTTAATTTCAATAGAAATATAATTTGTTATTTTGTTACTTTACCAGAAAAAAAAACACACATCTGACTTAAAAGGTAAGTCTTTTAAGCTGGTAGCCATAACAGAACATGAAGTGTTTAAGAGTACAGTTGAGCATTATCGCCTGAAACTTTGCTGGTTTAGTTAATACGATTACTAAATTGTTATTAGATAACAGAATATCTAGTAAAAACAAAGGAAGGGTTAAGATGCATACAAGTCTCAAAGATCTAAATATCTATTTCAACAAATTGGTAGGCTGCATTTCAACATCCTTGTTATAACAGTGAATATCTGCTGCCATTTATGGTTGTGTATGAAGACAATTTAATTAGGATGACCTTTCTAAATAGGAAAAGTTGGAGATTTACCAGTTTTTGGTGCCTTTTTTGGTTGCTCTTACACAAAGAATGACTTAAAATACAAGCTTGAAAACCAGCTGAGAATAAGATGAAATTTTTAGTTACATAGCACAGCTCTTTGACATTTGTATCTTTGAAAGCAGAATATTATGCTGTAGCTGTTGATTCCAAGGATTTGTAGTCCATGTTTTCAGTATGAATAGCACACATGCCAAGTGCACAGTCACACAAGAAGAGGCTGGAAAAAGACACTCTCATTCTTACAGTGGCATGAGGGGAGAGGAAAAAAAAAAGCAGAGTTTACCTCTATCTAGTGCTTCTTTCCATCAGTCATCTAGTGTAATGCTACGTACAGAAGAAACTTGAGTGCCTATTAAAAATATTCCAATATTTCTGATAGCATTTATAAATATACTAGATGCCAGAAGTCCAGTGTCTTCAGATACTGCCCAAAACATTGCAGCAACACAGGAATCCTGATCTTACTGCATTTTCATAAATTTCATATATACTGACAGAAAAGGAGCCAGTTCCAGGAATAATTGGAAAACTGCTTATTACTAACTCTTAGTCAGTTTAATTACCAGAAAGCTTCTCATGACAAGTTTTGGGGTGGGGTTTTTTTTTTTTTCTGTTTTGTTTTGTTTTTTTAAATCAACTGCTATTACATGTCACGTTTCTTCAGGAGATGTAACAGGATATGACACACCACTTTAAGTTTTAAATTTAATCAATTTATTTTAGAGAGGAACTCAGTGGACTTACGGGATCATCACCTGAAAGTGCTACTGCAGTTACACCAACATTTGAAGGGGAAGAAAAGACCCACAGCAGTTGCAGTACAAAGATGAGGAACATCTGAAGACCTTTTCTGAAGTAAATCTACTTTTCCTTTTCCACTTTATTCAGTGATAGTAAAAAGCTCTAAGATTTGTTATATCTGCATTTTAGGCTGAAATTATTGCAACTGTGTTACAAGTCATTTTTAGTAAGTTCAATTTTCAATTTTGTGTTCAAGTCTCAGTTTTTTTTTCCTTTACTGTGAAATTATTAATTGATTGGAATGAGAAGGAGCATTCACAGAAAGTCTGAAGAGATTAATGTGGTTTAAAAGAGGGCTTGACATTACTGAGGCATTTTACAAAATATGGTCACAGAAAGCCCTTTAATTGTTTTGGTTTTATTTTCCTCAATAGTCTGCAGATAACTGGATTTTTCACTGTTTAGTTTAGTAGGCACTGAACATGGTGTAACTAAGTGTAAGGAAATACTACAAATAATACAAAAATAATGTACTGCATACATTCATAAGAAATAACTGAATAACTTATTCTGATCTTAATCATGACACTCCAGCTTTTAGTGAACAACCAAACATTTTTCAATTTTTATCAAGACCATCAGCAAAACACAAACAACCCACAACCTTATAAATCTTCTGATAATCAGCTTTTAAGTAGATATTAAAAATAAAAGTGCAGTTACTAGTTCTGAACACAGCCAATCAACTGGAAATCTAATTGGTTTCATACACTACTTGAACATTTTTTTGTTGCCTTTACAATCATGCATTCTCTTTTCAAGACTGAGAGAAGGACTGACTGAGGGAAAAACAGCAATATTGACTATGCAAGGGTTGTTAAATTCCTGAAGTCAACTATAACCAGTAAGTTTATGTTTTTAAAGCTTTCACCTACATTCAAATCACACAAGTTTTTCCATACATAAATTTCCAAGAAGCTGTATTTCTTTAAATTTATTTTACCCATCAACTTTTACAGCTTTGCAGTAAGCTGACATTAGTACATTTTAAGCGCAGGGAAACTAGAGCAGATTTAACTTTTTTAAAGCTTCAAGCCTCTTAAATTCTTACAATCATGAGAATTATTGAAGGAAGAAACACTGAGCTTTAAAAAATTTCTTACCTCCATGTCTGGTTTGTATTTGTCTTCGAATACTGCCATAGCTGCTAATGATCCAGAACCTACGGTAACAAAATTAGGACACTTATTTAGCCAGTGTATTTAGATACAGTATTTTTTTTAAAGAACAAGAGAACAAATATCATCAACACAAACCAGTCTGAAGTCTACCTTAGCTTACTATACACTCTAAAGTGTTTACCCTCTTTAAGTCCAGCACCCAATTTAATCTTAAGTTTATAGCTAGTGTACACAGACTTGTCATGGTCCCCATTCCGACAGCCTTTCGTTTCACTATTTTGAACACTAAGATATGAAAAGTGAGGTTAGAAAAAGAGAGTTAACTGAATGCCACAGTTTGTAATTCCTACTCCTCCATTTCTCCTGTCCCGCTTTTGTGCCTGGCCACATTAGAGGGCATGTCACTTAATACTAAGACACACAGAAAGAATAGATTGCTTTAACGAGCTGCCCTGGCACAGTCACCTTTACGCACAGGGATGAGTAAACTAGCAATGGTAACAGGGTAGCTGGCTGCTGCCATCAGGTTATTTCCCATATCTACTTTAAAAGAGTTTAGTATGCATTTACTTTGTGCCATTATTTTTGCGTTGAACAGTAACAGCTGAACAGACAAAATGACAGATACGAAAACACGAGTTTAACGTTACTTCTCTTAAAGGATGCAGTGCAAGTGTAGTAATGGAACAGAAGCCATCTCCACCCAAAGCACTGTAACTGCAGGTGTTATAAATGTGCTTTCCATAAATTAATACAAAAAGCAGTACGATACTATTTGAAACTGTAAACTTGCTTTGTTCAGGAAGAGTGAGTCTTCAGTAAGATATCTTATCTGTCTGTGGCCCTAACCATATTTCAGAGCACGCTACTTTTGGGGAGTGAATAAAGTTACCTGCAATTTTTTACTCCAATTAGAAGATTTTTTGGCATTTATTACTTTTTAACTTGTTTTGCATACTGCTATCTGTTTAGCTGGGTCACAGAGAAAGCCATATTTTCTATTTAAAATGATTTGTGTATATCGCTTGACCACCTCAATGGTTTAGTGAAAGAAAAAGGCAGCGATTAAACAGTTTCAAATGAGGTGTCCTGCTGATTTTATCAAGTCTGCTGAATGTATAATGAAAGAGGAGAAGCTGACAGTGACACTGTTGAGAAAATACAGACTACCTTATCTGAACCATTTAAGGAGGTCCAATTATAGATCAGATTTAAAGGGTAGAAACAGCAGATTTACAGACACAAATCAATGAACATGGTAATCCCGATGAATATGACAGATATTGCTGTTACAGAATATTGCTGTGGTTGAGGATCATTACCTTTACAGTACCAAATACATCACATCTAAAAGCAGTAAGACACTCTAAGTGTGTACTTGTATTACAGGCAATGACTATTCATTTACACCTTGGAGCAATACATGGCTCCATTTTTTAAATGCTGAAACTGTGAATAAATAAGATTTTTAAGCAACTAATAGCAGAAATGAACCGCTAATACAACAGCTGATATCACAGAACAGATCAAAAATAAAAGGAATTTTACTGATCCTTCGAAGAAGGTCAAAATAAGGTGTGTTCCAAAACAAATACAGGACTTGAACCATAAAATAATTCTTCTTGTGGAGTGACATAAGAACATTTCTAATGGGGGGGGGATCTGAGATATGGTCTCAAACCAAGACCACATTCTTACTACACTCAAATGAAAGCCTACCATAAGCAGAATGGGAAGCCTCAAAACTAGGAGACAATCTTACCCTTAAATAAGGGTTCTTTGAAAAAATTAGAGTATAAAGACTAAAAAACGTGCAAGAATGAAAGTATAAAGGTTATATTTGACAAAAATTACTACATTAAAGCTACTGAGCTAAGAAAAAGTAGTCTTAATTTCTCAAAACTTCTACTGACAAATAAAAAGTTATCAGTAACACAAATACTGCAATAATCTCACACATGGCTCAGACTGGATTCATTCCTCCAGCTCCTTTTTAAAGGAAGTTCCCAAAAGAACCTATGGGCAACTCAGTAGACTTATAAAGAAGAAAAAAAAAGGTAGGGGGGAACCAGGGGGGGGAACCTTATGTTACATTACATGAAGTCCTTTATACATGAAGAATTGTTCTGTTAATTATTTATCTTGCTATATTACCAAGATGCAAATAAATGCCAAATTTAATATCAACTTTAAAAAAAATGTGGACAGTCCTATAATGTAAGTTTTCAAAGAGTTGTTGAAAGTCTTAATTTATTTAAACCTACATGTAGACATTTACATCTAAAAACCACAATCCCAAGGAGGTTCTAACAGAACAGGATGTAAAGCTGGAAAAGCTTAATAAACTCAGGGTTTTTTTCTCTACTGCTTATAAATCCTATTAAGTTTTATAAGCTTGCATTTTAAAAAAGCGCCTTAGCAAAAGTCTTGCAGCATAGCTAAGCATTCTCTGAAAGAACAGATTTTTGTAATCTTAAATAGCACAATGAAAATTCTTTACTCTTACTAGCACCAGATGTAAACACTGTGTTTTTTAGAGACACAAATAAATGTATACTTCTGAGTTCCTGCACCAAAACAAATCATCTGCTGTTTGGCAAAAGCAATATGAACCATTTTGAAAAATACTAGTGACATGCATACATTCACCTGTAGCACATTAACTAAGAAACCTCCCCCCAGTCCCCTATTTGCACTGCTGGTGGACTGAAACCCCATCACTTGACCATCCATGCAGAAATGCAGAAAACCAGCAGTGGACAGTTGCTCACAAGCGCAGTTGCGAACTTCACTATCCAATTACACCAACTTCCCTCTACTTGTCAAATTCCACACACGATCCAAACAACCCCACAATGTTCCAAGTAGTTCAACCGACTTGTGAAAGCAATGCATTGTAACAGGAGAGCTGGCAATAAAGTCTGTGAACTTAAGTAAACATTGGAAGTATGGTTTTCTTATTGCAGTACCTATAAAAGCACAGAAAACTTAGATATTAAGGGTCTGTGGAGGACTTGTTTGTATGTGGGGAAACAGCTGTTCTCTTATCCATGTATTCAGTGCCCACCAGTAATTCATTTTTTACAAGCATGCTTTACCTTTATGTAGAAACAAGCTGAACAATTCCCAAACATAATGTCTGGAGAAAGATAAAACCCAAACATTGCAAAACACCAGCCATTAATTAGGGATAGACATTCCCACCTCATACACACAGTAACTGATTTAAGTCTCTACCAGTTAGGATTCAACATTGAACAGCTGCATCTTAGCAACCTCAAATCTATTAAAACATTCAGGAAAGCTGTGAGATAATGCATCATTAAATAGCATCTTTGGCTTAGCTCAGATTCAAAGTAATACCAAACCAGATATTTATCTTAGACAGACAACTTTAGTTTGAAATCTTAACAACACACAACCAATGCAGAAATAGGAACTTTTCTTTGTTGGAATTTTTTTTTTAATTGTTGGAAGTTTACAACTGTTCTGTGTATGAGCAATAAGGATAATTAAAACAAAGTATCATTGGTAAAGTCACCATGTATTTGTATTATTAACACTCAGGAAAAAACCCTCACCTTTCAGCTAGTTTGTTTGTTTTGTTTTTTTTAAACCATTGACTGCTATGAACAGTTACACTTCAACAACCTTGGAAACACAATCAAGAAAGAAGTGCCATATCAATTCCAACAAATTTATTTTGCATACGTTTTCAGTAAGCTACACTTTACAAACAAATATTCAGGAAGTATTAATCTAGCACCTAAATATATAAAACTTGATTGCCAAGCAAATTATAAAGAACTAGAGAAACTGAGATGCAGAGCTGTATTCTGAGACAAATGCTTTTCAGTCTGATATTTAGCATGAACCAGAGAAGTTATGAGACCCTAAGAGATTTTATTTTTTTCTTCCTTAAGAAACATTGGTCATTTCTTAAGTTTTCACAACTAAGGTATTAAAAAATTTTCTGGAATAAACTGTAATAAACTCACTTTAAAAATCCCATTTGGCCTTTACTTGAGGAGTTGTACCACTTCAGCATTGATTTAAAGCGAAAGATAGTTATTGATATATAGCAAAAAATCCAGCCAACAATAATTTCCACCATGTTTTGCAACTGCAGTAGCTTTTCTAAAACAGAGGAACTGGATCTTTTTAGCAGAACATTCATGGAAGACAACTTCTTATTGCTAAGCACCGTCCATTTTCATCACTCAAGGACCTGTTTGCTACCTCAGCCTGCCACACCAGAGGATGTACACAGCCTTGAGAGAGTAACATTTAGCACTTCCTAATCCATCAGTGTCAGGGCTCCCTGACAGGGCATTTATTCACACGCACTCATTGTTATTCAATTTGCTGTTCATTCTAGGTAAAAATTCAGTGATCTCCACAGCCCCATCGATTGGGATCATTTTTCACCCTGGTTCCTGGCTGAGGGGCTGAGCCTCAGCAGTGGTAGTGCTTGCTCTGCAGGACAACATTGGCAATGCGTGAAGAGCTGATTTATGAATATGAAGCAACACTTGTACCAGGGGACTAGCTTTAGCCACTGGAGACAACTGGAACATACTTACTGTTTCCGAAAGCTGAACTACAGGCTTCAAGTGCTTTAATTTTATGCATACATTTCATTATAAGTCTTGGCCAGAAGCTTTCCTAGACAAGCCAAGCAATCAGACAATCTTGCATCGTTTGCTGAAATCCAGTTTTATCCTTTGTCAGCATAAAGTTTAATTTGATGTTTTCACTCCTGAGTAAGCACCGAGTATCTTTTAAGTCTCCCTTACAAGGGAGGACACCACTGTCCATCCACAAACACACTCCAGCTAAATAAAAACACACTCCAGTACATTAAAACAAACAAAAACCCAACACCTCAACAACCTTTCCTATTTAATACTGAATTTCCAGAAATTAACTGGCCAAAAATACCTACCCTGATTTAATAAACTGCCCTTAGAACACTTGGAAAAAAAAAAAAACAATAGATTAGTCTAAATAAGATAAAAATAAAATTCCAACTACTATCTTAGATTTGACCTTTGATACCTTTTCTGCTGTCTCAGTTCTATCTTTCATTTATATACATAAGCAAATCTTTTTAATAAAATATATCCTATCCGGAGAAAGTATCAGTGTACTGGGTGTAGAAAGGTAAAGGACATTTATGCTGAGAAGGGCTTTGTTTGACAGCATGGACAAAAATAACATGTGAATCACCAGAGGGAGACCTGGTACAGCTGACAGCAAATCAAAGTTTAAGCTACAATGAACTTAATCCATTGATACTGTACCTTCCTACTTGTTTGAACTTATTCTGCTACTGTGTTATTTTTGTGGAGGGAGGGAGGGGCGGCCAGGATTTTCAGAAATGCCACATTTTAAAGCTTTTAAAACATAGGCACGAAAGTAAACATGTACATAACAAACTGTGTACTTTATTCAGGCAATCAACTACTAGCAGCTATGAGTACAGAGTTATAGTTTTACAGTTAACTACAATAGTGGGTATAGGGCAATTATAATAATCAGACATTTACTTTTTTTTATATCAAAGGCTAAACAATGACATCACATGACTGTTACGTGGATTTTATTTGCCAAGGAATTTGCCAGTTCCTAAGGTAATGGCACCATCTATTGGTCCAATACCACCTCTGCAGAATTTCTGCAAGTTAATCACAGTTCTCATTATACAGTTAATCAGATGATCAGTTTAACAGCTGCACTGTTTCAGTAGTGCAAAGATCCAGAAGAAAAAGAAAAACCTTTAACATTTCCAAGAATATAGTAAGTAGGTGTTTTATCTGGAAATGCCAACCATGAACAGAAAAATATTAGCTAAAATTGAAGTTATATATTCCCATCACAAAGTCAGCATAAAAGCTGCATCAGACATAGGCTGAATCCAATTTCCTAATCTGACACACTTCATTTTCAGATCATTTTCTTTTCCGATATATTTATTTGGACTCTACATTACACTTCTATAGCTTGACTGAAACCAAGACTTCATTTAAAAAAATCATCCAAGTCTTCAAAATGAAATGCAAATCTGAAGTGATACAGTATCTTCTTCAGTGATCGGAGCAAAAATAATTGCAACCCCGGTTATGTCTGGAATTTTACTTTTTCCAGATATATGATATTCTCAGTAGAGCATTAACCTTAAAAGCCACAGATGAAACTGCACAAGAATATTATTAGCTCAGAAGGCACTAGTTTAATCTCTTACCAGTGTCTCAGTGACATCTCTTACCATTTTTTACCCTTTACTCCCAGATTACCTGTCTATAAATCACAAAAGAATTCAGAACTAAATCAAACAAGGTCGACGCTACTATTGAAAATGCTCCCTTTGCCAAAGACTGAGCAAGTTCTGCAATATTTCAAGATGTGTCCTTCCCTCAACAATGCGTTATTTCCCTTCTCAAAAAAAAAAAAAAAGACAACCCCAAAAACGAGGATGATGGTGATCACTAAGGCTCTCCTGCAAGTCGCAAAGCTTATTATAGCTTATTACTTCAGGATTCTTACCACAGGGACTCTCCAAGCATCCCTCAATAATTAAGAAACAGAACAAGACATCTAAAGAAACAATTTTATCTAGAGGACATGGACAAAAAAATAGTTAGAAGACATAAGAGGAATGATAAGTTAAATTCACAAATCAAGATTAGAGATGAAGATTTTGTATTCTGTAATACAGTATCTTCCTGAATATACTCATAAGAGGCCTCTAATTGGGTTGTTTAGCAAGATCACAGGTAAATGGGTCTATGCTCAAGAGCCATTTCGCAACTTGAAATTATTGCTACTGCAAAGCAGCACTGAGGAGTTCAAAAGTTTAATTCTCTCCTGTAGGTGTTCTTCACCTTTTTCTGTAGAACTGGGCAGTAATGGAGCAATGTTTCTGCTTTTTAAGTGAGAAAGACAAGACACTCCAGAAGAGCTGCCTATGATTTGCATTCTGCTACCACAAAGTACTTATTTCCAAGTTATTCCATACTCTTGTTTATAGTTTAAAAGAAAAAAAAAAACACCACAAGCCAGCTGTCCTGGTTTCGGCAGGGGTAGAGTCAATTTCCTTCCTAGTAGCTGGGACAGTGCTGTGTTTTGGATTTAGGGTGAGAACAATGTTGATAACTCACTGATGTTTTAGTTGCTGCTAGGTAGTGTTTACACTAGTCAAGGACTTTTCAGCTTCCCATACTCTACCGACTGAGAAGGCTGGGGGTGCACAAGAAGCTGGGAGGGGGCACAGCCAGGACAGCTGATCCAAACTGGCCAAAGGGACATTCCATACCATGGGACATCATGCTCAGTATATAAAGCGGGGGGAAGAAGGAGGAAGGGGGGGACGTTTGGAGTGATGGCGTTTGTCTTCTCAAGTCACCATTATGCGTGATGGAGCCCTGCCCTCCTGGAGATGGCTGAACACCTGCCTGCCCATGGGAAGGAGTGAATGAATTCCTTGTTTTGCTTTGCTTGCGTGCACGACTTCTGCTTTGCCTATTAAACTGTCTTTATCTCAACCCACGAGTTTTCCCACTTTCACCCCTCCGATTCTCTCCCCCATCCCACTGGGGGGAGTGAGCGAGCGGCTGCGTGGGGCTTAGTTGCCAGCTGAGGTTAAACCACGACACCAGCAAATAAGAATATATCTACCAAGACCGTATTTTACAATATCTTGAACATTGCTTTTGTAACTGGTCTCAACAGGGTAGTACCTGAACGCCAAAAAAGCATGGAAAAATCTGTGGTTTCAGCTTTCAGTATTCTCACACTCCCTAATTCGAAACTGAATGAGATGTACACAGAATTGCATATACATATAGCTCAAGTTATTGTTATTACAGAAAATGTTACATAGACACAAGAGTTGGGGTACTAACACTTAATAACCTGATGGTGGGCTACTGATGTCAAGTTGACCCCAACAATAGACAGAATTAAACTTCTTTACTGAGAAGCTCCATACAGTAGTTAAGACCAATTATTATGTGTAGCAAGTAAACCAGGTGCTTCACTGCAGTGAGGCAACACCTTGAGTAAAATTCATGCTAAGTAGCAGCTGTAACACAGAAATACAACAGTCCCAAAGGAGAAAGCAGGCACATTTTTTTCCTAATGAAACTACAGAAAAACTTCAGGCAGAATGTAATTCCCCAAGTGAGACTTTATATGAATCATGAGTTAGGACTATCTGCAAATCAAGTTTCTAAGGGGTTTTTTTTTTAAAGCAAGTTTTTGGGAATCCCACAATTCTCTTGCTCTAAAGTATGCTGGGGAACCCACACAGCAACTTTCCTAATACGACTTTTTTGGCAGCTTAGATTAGCTAGTATAATAGCCCATGTTTTTTGAGTGTTAGGAAAAAAAACAGAACGGTGCACCTGCCTTACAAATACAGGTACAACTTTTTCTTTGAAGTCTGAGGTCTGTACAGCTCCCAGCAACAATGGAATTTAAGTAAAAACATTTTAAGTAATAATTTGAAATGTTCACACTTTTTACCAGGCAGTTGTGTTACAATACTGAGGAGTATCACTTACCCATGGTAACGTAAGGCAGCTTGTCAGTTGATCCATGGGGATATATGCTGTAAAGGTGAGGTCCTGTGACATCTACTCCCCCTAAAACCAGGGCAGCACCAATGTAGCCTTGATACCTAAGAGCAACGTTTATATGTGAATCCAAAAGTCGACAATAAAGCTGTGGTTCTTTTTAACACAATGTATGCATTTCAGAATTTTTCCATGACTACACCAGGTACATCTCTGTAACAGAAAGACTACTTTTACTATCTGTGACCAACAGTTTAAACTAAGAAATTTACTAAAACACAGTATATTTAAGTGTCAAGCAGAACAAACAAGCAGGCTGGATGAGACATTTGTGCTAACAGGGAGAGAATTCGGATTAGTTTTCAAGCCTTAAATGAAATTCCTGTATTTGCAATTAAGTTTTTATTTAAAGACTTCAAAGAAAACATATTCCTTCATTTCCCCCATGAGATGTTCTTGGCTGCTTTAAACTTTTTAAATTGTTTTGTGACACACTTAAAAAAAGGCAAACTGCCCATCAATACAGCATTAAGCGACTGAGCTGAATTATTGTAATTTATCTAGGTCACTTGGTTGCACAAAGCATTTTCTTTTCATTGCTTTATTTCACCTTCCTGGAGACTTTCCAATAGCTTGAACAATATCTTTAATTGAATACACTCGTTTCTTTCCTTCTCTTTTAACAGCATTTTTTACTTCTGCGAAAGACAGTACTAAACAGTACTGGAATACTTAAAAGTTTGGAGAGTATGCCCTCAATCTAAGGGCATGTTCTATGTTATGCTGCTACTTAGGAAGTTCAAGTGCCACACAATAATGGTCTGTGATCAGTCAAGCAATCAAATAAAATCTTAAGATAACTGCAGTACAACTTCTAACCATTTTACTCACTTATCTCACTATACCACCAGCAGAGTTCTATATTAACAGCTATGGGCTTCAAATGGTTAAACACTTTATTCTTTTGAAATTAAAATATATTTTGAGGTAGTCATTCTATTACAAGTCATATGAAAGTCTCAATTTTACAAGCTTGCACATTACAAGATTATTACTGGTCCAGCCATCTTGCCACAAAGATACACATCAGTTTCCAAGGGTGCGATCAACAGTTTTATTAAACTACTGGCCTTCTATTTTTGCAGTGTAAACACTAGCAACACTGTACAACTATAGCATCAATTCTCTAAAACACCACAGACTTGATTTCTCTTCCATCTCAGTTCAAAAGCCTATGCAGCAAAGAGCAATTATTAAATCTTTCCTAAAGTCTTGTTATGAACATTAAGTAGGCTGAGGAAGGATGTTCCTTCACAGGAGCTTAAATATTATCTAGTGGTTTTTAACAGCATTGTTAATAAACAAGAAACCCACTCAGTTACCTGAAAAGCATTTGCTTTAGCATGCGATTAGCTGTGACAACTCTTGGAAGTCGTCCAGTAGATAGCGAATGGAGCTCCAGATTGGAAGAAATCAGCTGAGTTGTCATATCAGTATCTGCAGCTGTTCCAGCACCACAACAACTGAAAAATATTATGAGCAAGTTAGGAAAAGGTGGGGAGGAGTGGGGAAACAACTCTATGCTTTATCCAACAAGTAGAAGTTTTCTCACTGTAAAACCAAGGAAATTAATTTCACATACAGTCAGTATTTTCAGAGTATGAAACAAGATAGCCTGTTTAAGTGTAAATGAACTACCACAAATCCCCAAGTCTTGCTAATAAATTATCATTTTAAAGTGCACCTTAATATTTGCTGTTAGCAAAGGACGCGGCTAAAAATCGCAACACTATTACAATACCATTACACAGTAAATAACTTTAATACTTACTAGATATTAGGAGAAATGAAGTGTATTTTTGAACAGTTCTTGTCAGCAACAACCATTCCTTCAGTTGCTCTCGTATCTGCTCCGAGGACTATGCCATCCTACAGGGAGAGAGAATTATTCCCAAAGCCTCGGTCTCCAAAGGGGACCTTCCCAGCACCGGCGGCGAGATCGGCTGCAAGGCCCGGAGGGAGCCCGCAGGAGCCGGCTGCGCGCAGGCCGGGGCCGCCGAGCGTGACTCAGCAGCGCGGCA